TTAGCGTGCACATTGTTGACTGGATAAAAGTAACATTTTTGTGTTTACCAGAATCGTTAGCGTGCACATTGTTGACTGGATAAAAGTAACATTTTTGTGTTTACCAGAATCGTTAGCGTGCACATTGTTGACTGGATAAAAGTAACATTTTTGTGTTTACCAGTATCGTTAGCGTGCACATTGTTGAAATTCTGTTAAGTTCGAATACGTTTCGGACTAGAATTAAACATGCTTAATAAATAACATAATTCAGCTCTTAAGTAGAACAATAAGCATAACATCGTTACAGCATTGTTACGTCAATGATATTTGTTTGTGCCGTTAAAAGTTGTCTTTTCTCATAGTTTTATTTTTAAATTTCTTTAAAAGGAGAAGTGTTAAAATATAGCAAAAACCTGTATAATTTTCGTTATTAAAGGCCAGACCTTGTTTGCAAGACATATTTGAACTGACCGATTAAATACCAATGTGGTTTTGCTTCGAAAACTATTAACAGTAGAGAACAATAACCAAATAGTGCACGAGCCGACGACGTACAGCCAAGGGAAGGTGTTTCTCTGTGTGTGTGTATATATATATATATTCAGTACTGCTGATTGGTTGACTGTTCGTGACTGTATGATGAATAATTTTGCCAGTAGTAAGACTGGATATAATTGAAAAAAAAACAACTAATAAATATAGTTGTGTTTCAGAGAAGCTTTATTTTAATATATATATTTTTTTAATGTTGTTGTTTGTTATTAAGCACAAAGCTACACAAAGGGCTATCTATGCTCTGCCCATCACGGGTATCGAAACCCGTTTTCTAGCAGTATAAGTCCGCAGACTTACCACTGTGCCACTGGGGGGCTTCTTTTTAAAAATGTGATATCTACAAGACGTTAATTCATTAGAGCGACTTCTTACACAAAAATCTTTGAAGCACTAAAATAAAGACTTGGCGTTAGGCTTAAAACTCACGGGAGAGAGAAAGGACGTTTCTTTGGATCGGGGTTTTAACTTTGAGGTGATTAAACCACCTTTTATTATTGGGCAACAACCAACTTAATCTATAACCATTACTGATTAATGGAATATCGTTTGATCAATAAGTAACTAAATAACAGTGTAAGTTATGAAGGAAGAGAAGTGTGTTTTCGTTCATAAGATGTATTTATATCTGTAAAAAAAGTCACCGTCACCACACTGAAGTAACTGCGTAGAAAAATGTGCACAATAAAACGTTCTAGATGAAGTGACATATTTTTCGAGTTTGTTGACTGCACGTGTTAGGAGAGTTTAATACATTTAACCTCGGCCCGGCATGGCCAGGTGGTTAGAGGGCGCTCGACTCGCGGGTTCGCATCCCCGTCCCACCAAAACATGGTCGCCCTTTCAGCCGTGGGGGCGTTACAATGTGACGGTCAATCCCACTATTCGTTGGTAAAAGAGTAACCCAAGAGTTGGCGGTGGGTGGTGACGACTAGTTGCCTTCCCTCTAGTCTTACACTGCTAAATTAGGGACGGCTAGCGCAGATAGCCCTCGTGTTGCTTTGCGCGAAATTAAAAAAAACAAACAATACATTTAACCTACAGTACACAACAAAACGTTTTAGATAAAGTGACATTTTTTTTGAATTTGTTGACTGTTCGTGTTAGAAAAGGTTTAATACATTTAACCTACAGTATATTTGTGTAGAAAAGTTGTTTTCGTTGTTAACTCCTGGTCAGTATAGTCACTAAGGGCGGATGCGGTTAACCCATTGTGCATACTTGCGTTAAGAAAACAACATCAAAAGATAGACTAGCATAGGTTTTTGTTGTCATGTTTTAAAGTCTCAAGTGATTTGGTTTTCCATGGAAGTTACTTTTGAAGTCATGCTCACGTGGTTTCAGGGTGAAAACACAACACTAAAAACGAACAAAGAATAAGAAACACGTGTGTTAACACAATACTAGAAACAAACAAAGAATAGGAGACACCTTTGTTAACACAACACTAGAAACGAACAAAGAATAAGAAACACGTGTGTTAACACAATACTAGAAACAAACAAAGAATAGGAGACACCTTTGTTAACACAACACTAGAAACGAACAAAGAATAAGAAACACGTGTGTTAACACAACACGAGAAACAAACAAAAAATAAGAAACACGTGTGTTAACACAACACTAGAAACAAACAAAGAATAGGAGACACCTTTGTTAACAGAACACTAGAAACAAAGAATAAGAAACACGTGTGTTAACACAACACTAGAAACGAACAAAGAATAATAAACGCGTGCGTTAACACAACAGTGAAAAAACTGAAACTCAGGAAAGATTCTGCAACAAAACAATATACTTTAAAAATTAACTTCAGCGAACATTAATCGTAAAAACGTACGTTTTACAAATTATTACAAGTTTTACAATCACCAACTTCCTGTACGAATAGACAAAGCTTGAGCTGTAAACTAGTTTTATGTTTCCCAGTATTTTAACTGTACCTGTTAAAGGTTTAGGAAGATCCAACAAGAGAGAAAAATAAATCGTTTTAACTCGTTACGTACGCAGGAAAGTGAGTGTTGTTGACTATACGGCCGTGCTGTGGACGCTGGTTGGTGGATATGAAGTTACGAAGGTCTCTGTCCTGGTCTTACCTACGGGTTCGTTTAAAAGTGGATTAGTCGAACACGTGCTTGGCCTGTGCTGCGTTCGACCTACGCACGTAGTAGTATTTTCCAGTGGTATCGGCCGGATCGACCCCCTGTCAGCGGCTAGAGTACGGACGGAGCAGTCCGAGAACTGCCTAGAAAGTGTTCGTTTGTTCGCTCCTCTGTCCCACATAGCCGAGAGCACGGGAGCCGAATAACGTCGCCTGATGCCGGGTCTTCCCCGTTGGCTGGTCCTGTCCATTTGCTGCTTATACAGGTGTCGCTGTAAGAGAAACTTGAAGGTGTGACGCAAGAGTCGGCTTTTCACACCGTAAACATAGGCGTTTACCGAGGGAGCGAAACCCAACAAAATCGTTGTCATGGAAACGAGAACGGTGCTTCTCTCTCTTCCCGTCGCAGCTTCCCAGATCATAACACTGAAATACGGAACGGTCAGCACCGTTACTGACCCCACCAGCTGTACTATCGTAAAAAACGCGTTTCTACCTTTAAATTTGGACAGGTAGCAAGGGTTACGCTGGTGAGTCACCGTGGCCTGCGCGCGCAGGGTCACTTCGTAGATGGCCGTAACTATCCGATGACGGTGGTAGCGCGCAATGTTGAAGATGTGTAAGTTACACAACAGAATGACCAAGACGGGGACAACGACGGACAGCGCCACGTAAGTAACGGCATAGCCAAGTTCAGCCGGCGTACCTGCAGTACAGGTGGCAGCACATGCTCCTCGCGAGTCTCTGTAGACGTAAGGACAGACGTCAAGTAACGGAGGGAGGGCCAAGATTGCCCCTAATATCCACCCAGCCGTCAGGAACATCGCTGCTCGGCGGGTGTTGACGAGTCGGGAGTAGTGTAGGGGGGTAGAAATGGCGGCGTAGCGGTCACAACTAAGTCCACACACCGTCCAGACCACGACGACGGGGAGCAGGGTCCACAAGTAACCATGAACATTGCATCCCGCAGGTGACGGGTCAGTGGGGACCACGGCTCCAAACACGGAGTGGGAGATGAGGAGCACCAAACAAAAAACCGTGTCCACCAACGAAAGGTGAAGCAGGAATACGTTGTTTGGAGTCTTAATGTATCCTTGATTATGCCATAACAACACGATCATAATATACCCGTTAAATACTAAGCCTAGTAAGGCAGCAATGGACACGCACGTGATTTGAACGAAATGAGGCATGGTAAGATCCAGTTCGTTCTTCAGTACAGACGAAACTCTGGCCACCTGTAAAATATAATAAGATAATTTACTTATTAATCACTGCTGTTCTGTTGTTAATATGAACACTTGTACTGTTAAGTGTTATCATATTGTAATTATACTGTTAAACCGTACTGTCTTATTATTAAACCTTACTGTTATATTATTAAACCTTACACTATCATACTATAAAACTGTACTGTCTTATTGTTAAACTTTACTGTTATATTATTAAACCTTACACTATCATACTATAAAACTGTACTGTCTTATTGTTAAACTTTACTATCATATTATTAAACCTTACACTATCATACTATAAAACCGTACTGTCTTATTGTAAAACTTTACTGTTATATTATTAAACCTTACATTATCATACTATAAAACTGTACTGTTATATTATTAAACCTTACATTATTATACTATAAAACTGTACTGTTATATTATTAAACCTTACACTATCACTGTAATGTAACCAGGTAAACAAAGTAAACGTTATAACCCATAAAATAACCTGGTTACCTTTTCCGTTGATCAGGTTCCAAGTCTTCCCGTTCACAAACCAGAAGTGACCGAATATTCAATAAACTCACAAAATCATTGTTGAAAACAGTTTTTATATACTTTCATGTTACAACAGTGTCTATTGTCTATTTGAATTTCGTACATTCACAGCTGGAATTTCTAGCACTTAGGTTTTCACGAAAGAAGAAATGTGAATGACCTTTGACCTTCAACGGACCTCACTGTTTTACCAGAACGGCGTTCTTGTTTAGAACACCTAACGAAGCCGTTATTTCTCAAGTAGAATAAATTTAATAACGTTCGAAGTTAATACTGGGAGTGGATCCGTTCTTTTAACCCTTTGGTGCTTGTAAACGGGACTAGGAGTGGATGAAAGCAGCTGTTGAGGGGGTGGTGTGAACATTTAGGATCTCTAGACTATGTATGTCGTCCTCCTGCTCGATAACCCTAGTTTCTAACTAGAGACTGTTCCCGTTCTTGAACACCCCCCCTCTGTCTCCTGGGAGAATAGCAGACGATAGCTCGTACGTCGGAGTCGTGATCTGTCATCAACACAGACACTTTTTATGCCTTATCCTAGGCCTAGATGCTCTCTGAACAAAACCTTGATATCTCTTTACATTCCACCCTCACAGAAACACGTGTACCTTAAACCGTATTCCAAAAAATCGAACACTGGTTCGAAATCGATACGGAAGATAAATATACAACCCGGTCAAATGGAGCTTGAGAAGCGCGTGCGGCGTGGAGCACCAAATATTTGTCTGCTGAAGACCAGGCAGCAGGGGGTAGCTCTAGAAGTTCTCTGCGTCCCGACCCATTTTTCGTTACATTAAGCCAGTTCGGCTCACTACAAAATGTTCGATCTTATTTCAACTGCACGTAGCTCAAACGTTATATTACATACACTGTACGTCATGTTTTTTCTCTGTTTTCATAACTATTTGGTATTAAGAAGACACGGAGATATTTTGATACGAACTAGTAGCCAAAAGAAAAACTATATATATACATATACACACGTCTTCTCAAAATAAAACGCCACGAGCCAAGGCTGAGTAACGCAGAGTGAGAATTGTGAGTTGTTTAGCTTTGTTATATAGTCTGGCAAACTAGAGATGACAAAACTAATTTTGTCTTCGAGAACAAAGAAGGGAAACTGGCCCCCCGTTGTCGGCTACAAGATAAGTACATTGAAACCTGGGGTATAAAAGGGCAATTGTTGATAACGTATCGGGTTATTATTGGTGAAGCTTGTAGGTCTCTCTGACCGCTCGAATTCTTTTACAAGTGGAACGACTCGTAAAACGTGAGCTTAACGAGTCTCCGCTGAGTTATAGTTGAAATAAGATGGCAGAATGAGGCTAAGCTCTGGCACGAGGAAATAAACATCCTTCCAGATATCGGACTGATGTGTGTGTGGAGTAGAACAATATCTGTTAACATTTAGGTTGAAATGTGTGGAACAGAACTGTATCGGTTAACACTTGAGTTGAAATGTGTGGAACAGAACTGTATCGGTTAACACTTGAGTTGAAATGTGTGGAACAGAACTGTATCGGTTAACACTTGAGTTGAAATGTAGAACTCAAGTGTTAACCGATACAGTTCTGTTCCAGAAATGTGTGGAACAGAACCAATATGAATTAAAAATTAGGTATAAAGTTCTTTTATTTCTTTTTTTTTTTGCACGTGGGAAGACTTCTAATGTGTCTTGTACAGAACGGTTTGTTTATAAGCACATGATTCATTAACAGAACCTACTTCCAAGTCAGTCGGATCCCATCCTACAACTACACTTTTCCCGCTCTTCTTTACCGTTGATTGCCCAATCACTCTTACTTACCTTGCAACGTTCTTTTATATTCTCCCATCAGCTCCATTTTTGTCTCCACTGTTTCAGTTTTTTTAAGTGATCTTTCTCTTCATGTTTTGTTTTCTTAACGCACGATCTTCTCTTACGATATCGTATTTTTACATTCAAACCTTTTTTTTTTTATCTTCTAGAGTTAGGATTCCATTACTATCTAAAAACATTCGTTATTTTCTATCAATAAATTAGTTTGTTTTTCTCCTTCATATATGAGGGTCAAGCAATTGGAAAGTCCAAGGTTCGAGCCACCATGACACTAAACACGTTCCTTTTTTTTTACAGCTGTGGGTGCGTTATAAGAGTGATAGTCGATACCATTACTCTGTTGGACGACCGTGCACCTTGATGATAGCCCTACAGCATATTTTCCGTTCAATGCTATACAAAGCCCTCGTTGTAGAGGGGGTCGACGACTGGCTGCCTACCCACCCTCTTGGTTAGTAGCTCAAATATTTCCATATTTGGTTTCATTCGTGAGTTTTCTTTATTAGTTAAATATTTTTAAAGTCTCCAACCTTATGGCCAGGCATAGCAGATTGTTAGGGCGTTCGACTCGCAATCTGAGGGTCGCGGGTTCGAATCCCTTTCAGGCGTGGGGACGTTATAAAGTGACGGTCAATCCCACTATTCGTTGATAAAAGAGTAGCCCAAGAGTTGGCGGGTGGTGATGTTTTATATCCTCTTTGTTTTCAATTCGTCTAACTCCTCTCATTTGTTTTCATATTTTATTTATTGTTTTGTATGTTTTTCGTACGAAGAGGAAAATAAAAAATAAATTATTAGTAATTAATCACAACCGTTCTTACCAACAGTTATAAATAAAGGTTCTTCAATGTTTCAGCTGTCTTTATCTATCCTTCTTCCTGTCTTTATCTATCCGTGATAAAGACAGGAAGAAGGATAGATAAAGACAGGAAGATGTGTATTTTTGGTTTTATTCTTGGCACATAATTCTACACAGTCGTTTTTGGTTTGAAACTTGGTTCAGCCACTTTGTCTTAAACCTTAATTTTAACACAGTTCTTTCTCCTCATTAAGGTATTTTCCCTTCGTAACTCGAAAAGAAAAGAAAAACACTATTTTAAATTGTTGCACGAATACTACGGTAACTTGTCTCTAGAATATTAAAGAGAACATTCATAGTTTACTGTAACTTGTTCATCTTTACTGCATCATTAAACAGTGATACGGAGAAGTCCAACACACGGAGACTGAAGTAGCTGAGTGTGGTTTCTTTGTAGGTTAGTCCTAACTGTTATATTAGCAGTACCTTGAAGACAGGTACATAACTACAAGAAGATGGGTGGATAAAGACAGGTATATAACAACAGGAAGACGGGTAAATAAAGACAGGTAAAAGACGGGTAAATAAAGACAGGTATATAATAAGAGGAAGACGGGTGGATAAAGACAGGAAGAAGGATAGATAAAAACAGGAAGACGAATAGATAAAGACAGGAAGACGGATAGATAAAGACAAGAAGAAGGATAGATAAAAACAGGAAGACGGATAGATAAAGACAGGAAGACGGACAGATAAAGACAGGAAGACGGGTAAATAAAGACAGGAAGAAGGATAGATAAAGACAGGAAGAAGGACAGATAAAGACAGGAAGACGGGTAGATAAAACAGTAAGACGGACAGATAAAAACAGTAAGACGGGTAGATAAAGACAGTAAGACGGGTAGATAAAGACAGTAAGACGGGTAGATAAAGACAGGAAGACGGAAGATAAAGACAGGAAGACGGATAGATAAAGACAGGAAGACGGGTAGATAAAGACAGGAAGAAGGATAAACAGTTCATGTTGTATGAACGTGTAGGATAAACCTAATTACACACACAGTTCATGATGTATGAACGTATAGGACAAACCTAAATACACACACAGTTCATGTTGTATGAACGTATAGGACAAGCCTAAATACACACACAGTTCATGTTGTATGAAC